AGTTTTTTATTGTTTGCTTTTAGCTAGTTATTGACTTATTTAGCCCTTGTTTGATTTGGATTAAATCCAATTAAAATCTCAAATAAATTTCAACAATTAATTTTAAACACACATTTCAAGGGATGCACAAATTTTCTACCACATATTTCATCATTTTTTTTTAATCAAAATTTACTAAAAATCTAATTTTAATCTCTATCAAACAGTGTTTATTACTTTGTTTAAAAAAAAAAAAAAAATTTTATTTGATCATTTTTAATATTTTAAAGCATTATTTAATTAGTAGGACAATATGATCCTTGATCCGATCTAACGATTTGATCAGCAAGACCTATCTACCAATCTGATCCATTGCAAGAACTACACGAGTTATAACCTTGTAAGCAAGAACAAGCATGGTAGCGGATGAATTGATGAAAAGAATCATACTAATTAAATCGAACCATTTCTTTTCATCTTGAAACCAAGTTGTCAACACGTGCAATGTAAAACAAAATTCTTTCATGTCACGATGCATGCTCGTGCACATTCATATAGGTTATCGTACCTCTCGTGAATGTCATGAACAAATCGTAGTATCCTCAAGGCGTTCCTTGTGCTAGGTAATGGATATGGCATCCTCATTGGATGAATATACTTACTGGTTAAACCTTAAGTAGTTCATTAAACATTTTGAGTAAATAGCATCCTCAAGGCGTACCTTGTACTAATGGGTACATCAACATATGATCTTGTCTCAAGACCTTAAGGCTCTGTTTGATTGTAAATTTTTGCATGAAAAATATCACATTCGAAGAAGATGAATTTCACTTTGACCGTTTGTTTGCAACGTAGAAATGAAAACCGAATTCCAGTATACAACTACTTTAAGCTGTATTTTCTTTATTTTCATGAAAAACGAATTTTTATAGGTTTTGTAGGTTTTTATTTTCCACCTAACATGAAATTGGAATTTCTTTCCACATTTGTCTATCAAACGGACCTTAGTTGATACTACCAAATATAAATGGTTGTGCATAGAGAGAGGAAGTTATTGTCTCCAAGTTCACTAGCCCCCGTTTGATTCTCATTATTTAAAATTTTAATGGTTGGAATGGTTTTTTTTAATTGAAAAATATGTAATTAAAAAAAAAAAAAGTTTTAGAATTACGTGCAATATTTTTTTATTAGAGAATATGTTACTGATAAGAAGAAAGAAAAAAATAAATTATAATTTTAATGGGGAACAAGCAATACTAACAACTATATATGGTTGGCCATTGACTCCTAAAGATGTTGTCTTCTAACAGTGTCCAAATGAATTATAATCTTTTATTAGTTAATATAAAAGCATACCTAAGTTTAGCAACTATAGGCTCTGTCTGGGAGTACCTAAATCTTGCAACTATTTATTATTAGCTCCAATGACAATGACTTCGATATTTCTAGCACGATGGTTTCTCGTCGACTCGGTATATTTTTACTGGCAAACGTCCGTCAATGTTTACGCTGACAACAATCTCTTTTGGGCATTGCCTCTTATAACAAACAGTAGAAATAATCTCACTATTCATTCTTGTGAGATAATAATTATTTTAAATAACTTTTTTTATTTGAAGGTAGGAGAATTAATAATTTATTCAAATATTTTTCAAAATAAAGAAAGTAAAAACTAATTTACGTAAATGTATTTCAAAATAAAATTTATTTAAAAAGTTAGCTTTTAATTACTTTTGAGATTAGCCAAACGTGCTATTAAAGTTTCTAATAATACTAAGGGAGCACAAATGGGACCTTCACTGTATGAACATAAACGTAGCACTTTAATGTTACTGATAAACGCTTTCTAATTCTCTTGCATCATCGTCAAATCAAATCGATATTTTTTAATCCTATATCGTAGTTTAATGAATAATTTCGAGCCTGTGTTTCCTCAAATACCGTTGAACTTGAATTTCGAGGTTAATTAAGGTCTGCTTCTTACATCTCCATCCTGTAGTGCTTCATCTCATTTCCCTATTTTTAGAGTTTTTTTTTTCCTTTGAATTAGAAAGTGATCGAATTGGAGAATGATGTCTAAATCAAAGTTGTAGCCAGATGGGTTAGCTTTCCAACGCATTTTGAATCGCCTCAATCAAATATCGGAATACAAAGTTATGATAAAAATACTGAAGGAAGGTGCAGATGTCTATTTAAAACAAGAAATTCCGTTACATAATCCGTTAAAACAACAAATTCCGTTAGTTTTTCCATTAAACCAAGAAATTTCGTTAAATAGGCACTTTTTATATATAGAAAGATACAGTAGTTTAATGAATAATTTCGAGCCGGTGTTTCCTCAAATACCGTTGAACTTGAATTTCGAGGTTAATTAAGGTCTGCTTCTTACATCTCCATCCTGTAGTGCTTCATCTCATTTCCCTATTTTTAGAGTTTTTTTTTTCCTTTGAATTCCTATCTGGGCTTGTTTCGAATCCCTATGTGAAGTTGAAATTTAATTAGTTGGTGCCAGTTCTTTAATTTTCTTGAATTTCTTTGTCTTTTGATTTTATTTTCTTGTATGATTCAAATCTTTTATTTTTGTTTTCGAATTCATTGACCATTTTCACTCCATAAGGTGGATCTGATCTATGAAGACAAGTTATTCATTAGGGTCTAGTAATAGTCCCAAATCCTTCCAGGCCTATCCAAGGGGTGAATTTGACTTGGAATCTGGAATTGTAAAAAAATCTCGAAAGCCCAAAAAATCTCTCATTAAAATGCTATATTCGTTAGGAAAAAGAATCCAATACTATTACAAGCTTCACCCTCTTATGGTTTTCTTGATTTGCTTTTCACTTGGGATTACAATCCTCATAATTCTATCCATATACGGGAAGCCCATTAGAATGATGCCATATTATAGGAAACTAGATGCTAATGTGGATGATTATCCGTTTTCGAAGTTTAAGAATCTTGTAATGGTGGCGGGGCATTCGATTTATACGAGTAGTAGTTGTGAGAAGGTTGATAAAGAGGATTCTTGGTTTTTGGAGTCATATCAGAGGCATCCAGGCCAAGCTGCTACTTTTGTTACACATATACAGAAGGGGGTAGAGATTGCAGCCGATGATGATGAGGCATTGCTCTTGTTTAGTGGGGGTGAGACGCGGAAGGATGCAGGTCCACGAAGCGAAGCACAGAGTTATTGGGTTGTTGCTGAGTCAAAAAAATGGTTTGGTGAGTGCATTCTTGTGTTTATTCTCTTGCTGGGACGATGATGTAGAAATGATTTATTACTATCGAATTGACTGGAAATGCTTGAACTTGAAGTATTATGATATTTGAAACTAGTAAAGTAGGAGTATTTTGCCTAAATGTGAATTTTTTGGACTAGTCTTGGCATTCATTCGAGATGATATGCACGTGACATTTTATTTACTGGTATTATTAATATTATTCATTATTAAGATCTGAACCTTTTGGTGAGTAATGAATTTGATTTTAGATTTGAGCCTTATGAATTCTTGAGTGATAACTAAATGTAATTGCCTTTTATATTTTTAATTTAGGAGAAACAAAATCAAATCAAATTTATGCATGATGTTTCCTTTCATACATGTTACTTTTTTTACACACAGTTCTTAACTTCTCAAGGTCCTTGCAATTTACGATTTTTTTGGGATTCTTTCACTCCTTATTTTTCCTCAGTTCTCTGAATTTTAGCCTTCTCAAACTTCATAATGTAAATTTAAATAATTTGACTCCCACGATCTTAGTGGAATTGGTGAAATATGTAAATAAGCGTTTCTTTGATTGTTTGACATACTGGCTGGCTGAGCATGATATAGTGAGGTAAACTGATACAGAAGGTGACGCAGAAAGAGAAATAGAGAGGAGAGGAAGAATTTAGGAGGAAAAAATATGTATTTTTAATATCAATAATCAATAATAGTTTCCAAACAATGAAATCATACTTCTTAGTTATGGAGTAAAGAACTTAATTTAAAAAAAATTCCGGTAAATCACAACGGTTAAAAACGATAAAATCTTATCTAATAAATATTACTGAAATATAATTTAAATCGAACTTTATGTTCAATTCTAATCTTCATAGATATCTACAATTCTTATGTTTATTCTTCATCATGAACTCCAGAATTTTTTTTTTTTTTTTTTGTGTGTTAGAAATCCCACACTAGATCATATGCTTACTAAAATGAATGTAAACTTTTAAAAGGGTGTAATCCTTGTGTTGAAGCTTTCTTAAGTCGGCTGAGATTTGGAGGCCACTGTTGAAGCTTATGCAGTTTGCATGTTGTATGTCTACCTGCACAAGTTCATTTTTTGCAATGGAGATGAATGTGGATTATAATGATACATTCCATATATAGTAACTTCATTGGTAATGTTTTTTACCTGCATTGCTTGAGTGTCCTTTACATGTATGTTCGATACAGGTAAATGCTATTAATTATAAGTTCTTCATGAGGATCATATCCGAGTGCCATATCCATTTAAGGGATCACTCGGGTGTGTCATATGGACACGTCATGTGAACTAAAAGAACCCGAGTAACCTGGCTTTTATGGTTCTTGTATTGAGGTTTTTTATATCATGATTGTTTTAGTTTCGTGCAAAATAGTACCCAATTGTATCCTTTTAACATACCATCTAAATCGCGTGGGTACAAGTAACTACGAGGTAATAAATTTCCTTTTGGAGAGTGATGAGGATGGAGACTTAGCTAGTAAACCAACTACAAGAGAAATGTATTTTCATGTAGGAAAAGATTTATATTTTAACAATGGGGGCCAACCTATAAAATTATTCTTGAATCCATTAACATTAGGAATTCTAGCTTTAAAGGGCTTGGCTATGCTGCCCCACCTTGCCTACCCAAAATAAGTCAATAAATGGAAGGACTCTTCTTAATCTTGTCGTGTATTAAGGGTATGTGATCACATATCATTCTTCTTCAGTATGTTCCTAGCTCTTGCACAATTTCCATTTTATGACATAAATACTGGCCTACTGCCTTGTAAATGTGTTTTTGCTCTATTTTTTCTCATTCATCCGCTTGAAATAGTTATGATTACTTCAAATATGGCATCTTATAAGTGACTAACCCTGACGATGAACTTCACAATATTTTACATGGTTATGCAATAAAATTAGTAATTTTTCTGCACTATAAGGTTCTTGTGGCAACGATTTTGTAATGCATGAAAAATGGAGAAATATTATGCTTTATCTGTAAGTTGTGAGTAGGAATGTTAAGTGGGGCACGCCGCTCGCAGGCAATTTGGCCATGAGAGCCGCTTGCCAAATTTAGAAAAATATACAATTTTAGCAAAAATAAAATGAAAAAATATGGTAAGCCAAGTGGCTCACGAGCCGGCTTGGCTTGACTCACCCCATCCAGGGACTAGCTTGGGGGGTGAGCCGAGCCGCATTTAAGTCCCCCAGTTGTGGGTTATTACAGGAAGTTTTTGAAAGAGATTAATGAAAAAACACAAAAAGAGTGACAAGGAAACCTTTGATGAAGTGAAAACAAATGCATGATTAAAAATTGCTACCCAGAGGAAAATTACCACTGTACTTCTATTTTGTCAATTTCTTTCTTTACTTGTTTAGTTTCAGTTCTTCCTTTCAATTTTGGTTGTTTATTATATCATTTCGGATGATTTTCCAATTGGGTTGTTCGTAATTTAACTAGATTACTTTCAGAAAAGCATGGACTTGGTATTGAAATTAAATTTTGCTTATCATAATCACATTTGGATTGTGATGTTGGTATACTGTGAACTTCTATACAGGCAAGCAAGACAATGTGAGATCGAGAGCACTAACAGAAGAACACGCAAGAGACAGCTTTGAGAATCTTCTCTTCAGTGTGTGCCGGTTCCGGGAGCTTACTGGCACATATCCTCAGAATATAACTGTAAGTCCAATTATTATATACATATTCACTGCTCTACTACAGTTGAATGCCAGAGTTGGTTTATTATGACTAATACTTAACCTGCATGTTTGGTGAGGTCGACTCGGCTGTACTAGATAGTATTGAAGAAGTAAATTAAGCTAAATATTGTCTTTTGTATTCTCTAATCTTATTCGGTACCACGTAACAAACATAAGATATATGAGTGCATGAGTTGAAGACTCCTTAGCAGCTTTTTGGCTTTTAAGTGAAATTGTCAATATCAAGGCCACGGTTATTTTAATATCTTTGATTCTGATTGTTTGTGCCTCAGTATTAGTAAGGCTAATTCTGTATCAATACCTTTTAAGTCTTCCCAAGAGCCCTTTAAGCACCTGTCCACAGATAACAGTACTTGCTAGTTACTATATCATCAATATTTCTTCATTGTTATTGTGTGGCGTCAATTTACACCTGTCCTTAGATGTCTCTACTCGTTTTTTCTCGTGTATAACTAAAGCATGTACACTTGATGGCCATCATCCAATTCCCATTACACATAAAGTTGTGGATGCATGCGTGTGTTTTTATACATATGCAACTTACGGGAATTTCTGTTAATTCTTTTTTAGTTAATATATATAGACAAAAATTGATTGGGAACAGGTTTTTCCAACTTGTTCTGAAGTCAAGACTGTCTTTTTTTTACTCATTCCTTTATTGTATTTTTGTATTGAAATTCAGGTTGTTGGTTACGATTTTAAGGAAGAGAGATTTGTTCGTCTTCATCGATCAGCAATTGGATTTCCCGGGGCAAGGTTCTCGTATGCAGGCACACCTTCTTCCCAAAATTCGAGGGAGGCAGCTTTAAAAGGGGAAGCATTGGTGAGGGCTCAATTTCAAGACGATCCTTATGGTTGCTTAGGTTCACTTCGTCGCAAAAAGCTTGGACGTGATCCTTTTCATCGGTCGATCCCTTATCCTAATGGATGCCCTGAAATCGAAGGTTTGTTCAGATATTGTGGGAATGCTCCATATCCAGGTTACCTTCCATGGGCTTAGGAAAATTGTTTTCTTCAGAAACAAAAACTAGGATTAAAACTGAAAAGAATACATTGTTAGCATGTGAGAAGGTTATCAGTTATACAGTTCAGTTTCGTCAATGTGCACTACTGAATCAAACATGCCTGGTAGGCTTACCGGTTATGCATCTCTTCCTGTATTTATTGTAGAAAATAATAAAATGGAATACCAAGTTTGCTAGTATAGAGAAATCTTCACTTCAGAGCAAGGGTCATCAGGTTATAAATCAATCTCTCCTAAAATTATAAATATATGGATTTAAATAAAAAAATAATGTTACTTAAGTTAAGGATTAATAAAAGATAATTGATGATTATTTTCTCATCTCATCACTTTCTTTAAAAAAAAGGGGGGTAATCAGTTATCATCCTCTTCACGTTCGCACAGACCCTAAAACAGAAAATTGAATTTCATGCCTTTAAGCTTCATGCGTGATAATCCGAATAGATGAAATTTGCAACCAATTTTTATCTACAATTTCTCCAAAATAATTGATCATAGCTTCTACATCGTTATTACATTTATTGGTGAAGCACAAAATTAAACAACCATTTGTAAACAATCAGCTTATTTCACGGGCATCGACCACAATATTTTCCAATAATTTTGTGCAAAAATTGTGATTGTAACACGATACACACTGTGATTGTGACTTATATATTGTGTGACTATGACTCCAATCACAAAACTGTGACAATCTATAGTTTCAAGTATGCATGTACAATTTAAGAATGTGATAAAAGATGCTTTTTTGAATAATTGTTACTAGACGTGAAAAATGTCATTACGTTGAGTGATTGTGACAAATGAGGTTGTGTGATTATGATAATAAAATATTTATAATACGTTGTGATTGTAATATACTACGTTGTGTGATTATGACTTATAAGATTGTGTATGTGACAATCATTGATAATATGTGACACTATTTTGTTACTTTATGTTTCTTTGAATGTTATTATAGCACGACTCTTTGAAAATTGTAACTTCGTGCGAGAATTGTAGCCCAATTTCAAGGTTGAAGGTTTCATTTAAAACATTGAATTTGATCGTAAATTATTTAGATTTCCCTGTGGATTTTGTGTTTGAAATCCCGAAGATGATAATTGAACTTCAAATTCTAAATTACTTACTAAATTTATATTATTTGATAATGTGATTTTAAATATTAAAATATACATTATACATATAATTAATACCCTTTTTTTAAAGAAAAATCTTAATAATCTGATCAATGATAAATCAAACTTTGAACGTCATGTTAAAAATCAAGAACTAAAAACTGAACTTTTATTGGAAAAATTACAATGTTATTACAATGAAGTAATGAAGTTAGTAGCACTCCGATACTTTCTTTTGGCTGTTCGATCCTCAGTTTGAGGTCTAGATCTTGATATTAAGTCCTAATTTGAAGGTCTAGGTTTTCAGCAGGCTACGAGAACAACTCTGAATTATAGCGTAAACACCATCAATAGTGATTTACCTATGAATGTTTTTTCATAGAGAAGAGTCTTTCCCAACGTAGTCCATGCACGTTAAGGGCATTTTGCTCACTTTCTGCATCTATTCCAACATTGACCAAATAGCCAATCAACCTAATTTCTATAATTCCAAGTTATTGAAAGAAAGAGGGGAAATAACACTTAATTTAGCAACATAGTGAGTTAAATTTCCGACAAACATTTGAAAAACGATGTAAAAATTATCCTCGTCCTATGATGGGGCCGCAGTATAACTATATCAATAAGAGGAAATACTTGTAAAATTACTGGAAGTACATCTACAAGGTACGGATCAAAAAGATTCAAGTTATAACAATCAGGCACAATTACAATGGAAAAACATACCATGGGACTGAAACAAAATCTGGCTTTGCTGCAATACGGCAAGTCGTGAAAGGGTTTTCATCCAATAAAATCAGATTAAACTGCACATGTTGCCAAGATACGTATTTCTCAGTGTCATCCTCAACCTTCAACCCTCTATACAGTTCTGTTAGGAGAATACTGCAATGTATATTTATCTACACATCTTACGAGAGGTGAACAGCTCGTAATAAAAGTTCAAACAACACTGGCACTTGTTCGAGCAATTCGCTGAGCTTCTTCAAGGTCCTTCAAAAACCTACATGTTTGCCCACTAGAGAGAATTAGGCACAGATCCATTGAGGGGACGTGTAAAACTGAAAACAAGACTCTTGCATAAGAAGCACAAGAAATGAAAGATTTCCATATAAATGGGAGTAGCTCGGTAGTCGGTGCAAACAATTAACGCGAAATGTCTCTGGGCAAACAGAAGCCAAAAGTACGCGAGGGCCAATATGATTTAAGATGACAGAGGTAACTGAAATTTACTAATCCCCTGTTTGATTTTTATGTTTCAAAATCACTTTTCCTCGAACTTATTTTCCACCACACATTCTCCAATAAAATACTTTTTGCACGTGGACCTATAACTTCTATACCTTTTAACCACATATTTTCCCAAAAAAAAAAAAAAGAAATAAATCACTTTTCACAAAATCGCTAAATATATTGATGCATTATGCTTGGAACAAACACTATATTTGTAGAAGAATTGCACAGGAAGGAGAGAAGGGGGGCGGGAGGGTAAGGAATTATCATAAGGGAATAAGAATAATTTGCCTATGCAGAACTCCCAAAAACTATCGAGTATAATGGAGAATCACAGACCTCTTGGAATTGAGAACTGCAGAACCACCAAGTATGAAACGAATTCCAGAATTTGTAGAATTTTGCAGAGCAACAGAACGTGCCTCTTCATAAGTCGTCCCACCAATAATGAAAATCACCACCTCCTGAGGCCTGTTGAAGAGAAGACAAGGGAAGCGAATTTCAATTTTATTCAACATGAAATAGTTGCAAAGGAAACTTTTATCATGACATGAGCTTTAAGTGAAAAATGCAGAGAGAAACAAAAGAGGTCCTATGGAGGAAATTCAGAAATTCATAACGAAGTCTGACCACAATGACAGAATTGATTAGAATCAAGCTAAGAAAGGGAGACTTAACATGGCAATCCTCAGTCAATATGACTAACACGAAAATATATTTTACTGGCACAGTGCAAGAGTTTGGAAGGAACTGTCAGAAACTGCCACCACTATATATCATAGACGCATCCTACTCCATTTAGCTTCACGTTCTTTCTTTCATATTCCTCTGCCCCACATTTATTTCTTAAATGTCCCCAAAAAAAGGTTCATGTGGTCATAACAAGGTTCCACACTTACTAATTGTCCATTCTGAAATGAAATGGACGAAATTTTCATCTTAAAACGCATGGATATGACTGAGAATCTACATTATATAGCATGGAGGGCAATCGAATTCATCTCTCCTTAAAAGGTTGGTCTCCAAATGAGAGTTGGAAATTGGGAAGCAAGTACATAGAAGAACACATTATGCCATATCAAAAGGATAGAAAAGGAGATAGGAAAAGGACCTTGGGTCTACAAAGTTTCATGCAGATACTCTACAATCCCATTAAATTTCTGTTCCTTTTCTAGGCGAAGATCCAGCACTGACAATATTTACTCTCTGTTCTAAATGCCATTGATAGCATGTACAACAAACATGGATCATCACCCTTGGGTCTATTCAAAAACCATTCAAAAGTAAAAAATATAAGACGCCAAAATCGCAGATCAACTGAATTGAGAATAAAAATTTTGGATAGCCTGCTACTATAGAGAGGAAGATGGTTTCAAATGTTTCCAGTATAAGGTCACTCGATCTAATGTTCTAGCAAGGTTAGGACTCCAGATAAATTGCAATTTGCATCTCAAACTTCGGTAGTACACGCAAAACAAAGTATAAGGGCAAATATCAAAGGTCAACAGATGATTGTAATAGAGCTAAACATATCCCCTGGTAAATCTGGAAAAAAACCTAATTAAGAGTACACAGGTTCCAAGAAGGATAGAGAAAAGACTGACCTTGGTTGCTGAAAATGATTTCCAACATAAGGATAGTCCACATCTCTCAAACGCCCCTTGACAATGCTCTCCATAGTTTGGAATACAAGAGGCTGATGCTGGGTGTACACATTTTCAACGCCCTACAATAAGCATGAAAATACTTGAGCAACCAGAACATGAGCTTCTGAGTAAAAACATGAAAAGATTTACCGACAAACCTTGAGGCCACGAGCCATATTGCGAGCAATGTTCAGGAAATCACGGTTTCCATAAAGGTCCCCGGTTCGCTTATCAACCCCAGCTTGCTTTAATAGGAATTGTACAAGCTGTCAATCCATCATAGAAAGATTTAAAGAAATTTACTTGATTTATTATGTATGAAATAGGACACAACGATTGGAAAAACATTTGTCTAATTCAGCCCGAGAGATGATGACCTCATAAATTAGACATTTAACAGAGACAGCGTGAGCATCCACAAGGCAAATGTGAAATTAAATACAGTCAAGTGAGTTCTTTAAATCCGTAAGGACTTTTCCATCCATTGCCCAAACCATATTATAACTGTTCAGCAAATGAATTCTATAGGAAATTTGCAGTAATTTGATTTTAAACAACATTCGGGCACATGAAAGCATTAAGTTTGAGGGCATACGAGGAGCAAAACATGGACTAGTAGAGAGCAAACACAAGTATATGAGAACCTCTTGTAAGAAAAAAATGAACGAAAAAAGTACAACCGTGTTAAAGCATTGTGTGTTAGTCCTGGAATCCTGCAGCAAGCATTCCCCCACTCCCACCCCCACCCCTGCCGCACAGGTGCTGTCGAGTATGTAGATGTGCATGTTTTGGGGTGGGATGAGTTCAGATTGCTCAATGAAGAAAGAAAATAGAGGACAAATTGTATAACCCAAAGTAATAAACAGGCAAATCAAGACAGTCAAAAGATCTCAACCTGCTCCCCCCTCCCAAAAAAAGAAACGAAAACGTAAATAAATAATAACAATGACAATAAGTACACTAATACAAGCTGTCAAAATTAATAAGACAAATATACAACAGAAATTTATAGAGAGATTGATTTGTTACCCCAGGCTTATACTTGGGAGATCGGGAGGCCAATTTATTGAATAACTGCATCAATTGAACAGGACTATCCTTTTCATAGCGCAAGGCATACAGCATGACCAGGCGTAAACGGTCAACATCGGACACACTTTCATTATTTAAAAGATTTGTAACAGCCTGTAAAGAAGCAAACTGATAAGACCCTTGACAATATTCAGCAAACAGCTAGAAATTGACTGATTACTGTTTCTAATTTGAAGATAATCCCAACAATCGCAGCAAACAGCAAAGAAATGGATGTCAATAGAAAAGGAAATGAATTGATGTTTATATAAACTGGAACATAGATGATCAGTCCCTGTTTGGTTCGGCCAAATATCAATTTTTTAGTAAATTTTGATAAAAGTTGATTAAATGTGTGGTTGAGAAGTTGATAAAAGTTATGAGTTACATAAAATGTGTGGTTGAAAATGAAATTTAAAAATTGGGGCCAAACACGGGCTAATGGCGTATTTAAATACAGATGGTAGGGAGCTTTCAAGAGGCTCCCTTTCTCCCACAAAAAAACTCTATTTCTGCCTGCCTAATTCCTGTTTCTCCATCTCCTTTTATACTCACTTCTGTAATTATTATATAAATTCCCCCACACTACCCCTAAAAAAAGACTAATGAACGATGGGCCAATTTGGCAAGATTTAATGATAAAGATAAAGAGCAATGACGGATATAGAAATAGAAGTTATAAAGGATTTTAAAATAAGAGTTAAATTCAAATTATGAGTGCTTAGATCAGATTATGTTACTTTTACTATAATGATAAAATTCTTGTTTATTATTAGTTCTTTTGATTTTAAATTAGTTGCTATATATAAAGGGCTTATTCATTGAAATATACTCCCTTGAATATATATATATACGTTTCTTCTTTGCCCTAATTTCTCTTCTTCGATCCCCTTTCTTTTCTTGTTCGTTGTCAAATTGGTACATTTCTACGTCACTTTTGAAAAGTCAAAATTTCTTTGTAAGACTAAGAAGCTGTTTTTTGGATAATTTTTTGAAAGTGCTTTATCCGATTATAAGAGCTTTAAGAGGAAGCTGACCTAAAGTAGTTTCTTACAAAGCTCTTCTACAAGAAGCAGAAGTAAAAACCTTGCCAAAATAGCCCTAATTAACAACTGGTAAAAAGAGAGAATAGAATCCATTGCACTGTGCTCACTGTGCTCACTCTGCACCAGCATCCACGGCCTCAGCATTAGGTGGTGCTCCATGTGGAAGTTCGGGTTCTATCACAAGCATGAGATGACAAACCGTACAGATACGTTTCTCTCAAAGATTCAGATATATACATGCAGATCACTAGAGAAAAGAAGTGATTTTAATCAAATAGAATAGCAACCAGAATAAATAATTGTTTACTTAGAAACCAGCAGTCTACAATATTATCTGATTTAAATCAAAATCATCACATCATGGTCTATACGGAATAAACACAAGTAACAGCATAAAACCTATTAAACATTTACTCCAGAGAAATTAAATAGATATTTTCATTATATTTCAAGTACTTAATTACAGAGCCACCACAGTAAGGATGCAATGGTCTCCGATTAAGCTTACAATCACCGATTACAGAAAGAGCTTTTGAAGGAATAAGAATCTGATATTTTACTACCATATAAAAACCTAATAATTTCACCTACATAAAATATGAGCAAGGAGATCAAAATGTAACATTAGATAAAGTGTCTGAGTACCTCAAATGCAGCTCCTTGCCCACCATTGCAAGCTAATTCTTGTTCAGTTTGTGAAACTAACATAAGTTTCCGTTCTTCAACAATCTTGCTCATTTCAGTGACCAGGGTCACATGCTTGGAAACATTACCATGCATTTTTCTGTATTCTGGGTAGTTGTCAACAAACTTTGCCATATCCTCTGCAAACATTTCAAAACAGCAAATTTTAGAAGTTATCACAAGCAGCAAAGTTTAGGAAGCTATAGGCAGATAATAGTGGAAAATAAAACAAATTTCCAAGCTTAAGTTCATGAGTTGCTAATAACAAACCTATTGTCTGAATATTCTGATTACTTTTTGCCACTTGTTGGAAATCATCTACCATTTTTTTAATATTCATCCCAATATCTCCGAAGTTTTCATACATATTGGCTTTGAAAAAGGCATCTTGCTCGGAAGAAAGTACAACCTCCTGAAGCATGAGGAACAAAGTGAAGTTTCCCCAAGAATGAAAACATAAAAATGAGAGAGCATGTATTACAAGAAGAAGAATTCAACCTGTTGATCCTTTGACAACTTTCCAATGTTTCTCAAGTCTACTTTATTGTCTTGAATGCCTATCAACTCATGAAGCATCGCCTATAATAAATTATGGAGCACGTGAGTTTCATTGTCCAAATATTTTCAGTAATCATTACACACACAAAAAAAAAGAAAGAGAGCAGCTGCTCCTATGTAGGAAAAGCACGAGGGCAAGTACATATAAAAATTGAATAACCTGATAAGTCCACTGATTAAGCAGTGGGGTAACAGGATCATCTCGTCTATCAACAATTAACAATAAGGGGGAAACTTCTGCTCGTCTAAAATCAAAAAGACCACTTTCCTGCTGGTACATCAGCTTCTGCAGCACCAGAGACAAGGAACATAATCACATATATGGTACTTCCATATTTACGAAAATTAAGCGTACAGTAGACAAGGAAAGTAACATATGACAAAATAAATACACGGGAAATAGGTAACAAAATACAGTCTTCTGAAAACAACCATGTGACAGTTGGCATTCTCACCGCTGCTTCCTGTGAGATCCTTTTTGCAATATCAGATGCTCGAGAATACCGAATTACAGGCCTTCGTTTCAAAGCCAGGAAGATGGCAGCAATTCCATCAACCACTCTCTCACAGAAGTGTTGCAAACCTGACGGATCTACCACTGCTGGGAGCATATACATGTGATTTGATGCCATGTTTAAAGAGAAGTGGTAAGGATCAAAAGCAACAAAGTCAGCATAGAATTCCTGCATAATTATGTTAATTATCATTGACAATATCACCTTCATAACCAAAAAGAAATTGCTTTACCTAAAACCGGTGCTTTCATCTTCAATCATAACTAAATACATATGTTTCACCTTCCTAATCTATTTGATAGTTTATTCCCACCTCTTCATGAGAGATATAACTTGTTGGGTATTGAAAATCAAGGCAATAGCATTTCCGCTTTAAATATGGTGAGAGAGAGCAGCTTATATAGAATTTAATGTTACCTGCACTTGCTGGACAACTTCATGTTCATCTGAATCTGCTAAATTGTGAAGCTGGGTGTCTTTCAACATATTTGAGAAAACTGAAATAAAAATGTCCATACCAAAAGGAACTTCAATTTCACGTTGCATTTTAACAAAGTAATATGCCAGTCGGTTAAGTTGCATATCATAACTAGGAAATCCTTGTTGCAAATTCGAGACAAAAAAGAAATATCAACTTTTACTCTAATATCAGTTAAGAAACTTTGACAGGAAGCACACCCCTAAGAAATTTTTAAAAGTTCATAATCACAATTATGTAAAACTACAATCAATTGGATCTTACAAAGGTGATACTCTCCGAACCGAGGTGTAGCGAGTTGACGTCTCACGAGTTGAATATTCTCAGAAATTGGCCGCAGAAAATAAATGGCTTTAAGGTGTGACATGGGTTCTTTTGACATGGAAATGGAATCGACTAATTCCACTAAAAACACTTCTTTTTGAAGTAGCTCCGATTGCGAATAGACTACACTCACAATACTAACCTGCAACACATTGAGAACCAAAAAGATCAAATAAGATAATAACCAAATAAATTATGATACAAACAGTCTTTCTAAGCTGTACTAATAATTTAAATTCTACAGATTATATTTTCCAAAAGCTGCATTGATAATTTGGAAATAACCCAAATAAATTAAAATCCCAAATAAGTTTTTAAGTAGAGCATGTTAGTTATACCAGCACACGCCTAGTGGAAAAAAAATGAAATAAAAAATTTTTCATATTGTAATAAGATCAATAAGCTTTTGTGTACACATTTTCCCAATATTTTCATTATCAACTAAAAATTACAACACAGAATTGTAATTAATCAACTGAATTAAGTTTTGTTTTGGCTCAATTCATTATTTTCCAACATTAGAAGAGGAGTAATGAAATTGTTCAGTTAATAATAATAATAATAATAATAATAATAACTGAACGGAGTGAATATTTTCTAGAATAAAGACGAATTGTAGCGAAACAAATAGAAAAATAAAGATCTTGCAATTGTACGAACCGTATGTGAATCGAGGATGAGGACTTTCATTCCAGAAATGTCTTGTAACATGCGATTGATGTATTCTCGCACGGCCGTAACTAGAACCATTTTTCGCGAATTTAATTATAACTTCTCCCTCGAGATCTAGTAAAGATTATAATCTAGTACAACAATGGGTTTAGTAATTGAATCAGAAAGCAAAAACAAATAATTGGAAAGAAAAGTAAAAGTGAGAAGATGATGATGACGAAGAAGTGAATTTTGCAATGAAAATTTTCAGGAAATTTGATGAAATATTGAATATTTTCAAAGCAATCTGAAAATTAAATTCAGAAATTATTCTTCTAACAACTGTAATTTACATTTGGAGAACAATCTTTCCTAATTGATCAGCTATGTTTTTAGAAGAATAGCACGTTTAGCACTCAACCTTGAACAATTGTTATAAACTCGCCCTATCCTTTAAATTTGGACTTCCAAATCCCCAACATTAGCTCTTTGGCAGAGTCGGTCCTTTTCCTAGTTCCGTCTAATTTTTTGATACACAAACGCAAGAATATTTCAACAATAATACAGCACTGCAGAGCATTACAAATCAATGTCAATGAAGTAATTCAAATCTCGAGACATCGAGAGAGCCATTTAAGAGAATAAGAAAAACAAAACTTTCAATTATGACACAAGAGTAGCAATGTCAACGAGTCGAGCCGAAAAAAAAAAAGTTCGAGCCGAGCCCAAACTTTTTTGGATGGAGCTTTTTTTGGTCCGAACCGAGCCGAGTCGGCTCGAATTTTTTGGTTGCTTTTTTTTAATTTTTTTTTCCTGAGCTACAGGCAAGCAGCTTGCAACCTGCCTGCTACAGGCAGGTTGCAAGCAGCAAGTTGCCTGCAGCAGCTTACAGCAAGCTGCTGCAGGCAGTAAGCTGCTTGCTACCTGCAAGCTGTGCAGGCAGCAGCAACTTGCTGCCTGCAGTTTGCACAGGCTTGCTGCCTGCCTTCAAATTTTTTTTTTTAGGCTCGTCTGGGCCAAGGGCCGGCTCGGGCTCGAGCCGACTCCCCAAAGTGGGGCTCAGCCCGAGCTCAGGCTCGATTCCACCGAACCCGAGCCGTCCGAGCCTCCAAACTTTTTTGTCACCGCTACACGAGAGTTTTGACTTAATTCAAACTACCAAATTGAACGAAGGAAATTACATCTTATATCCTCCATGAAATGGAAGCAAAACCAGTTCAAACGGCAGAGGGAGGTAAGTGAGAGAAATTCATATGCTTGTAAAATTTCAAAGTTCAAATAGCTTATGCAGTGGCATTTTCAGTATTTTCAACAATTATTTTCACTCGAACAAGTAAAAAATTGTAGTTTTAATATGTCATAAATATGTGGTAATCTTGTTTACAATGATCCTAGGAGACAATTGCATTTTTTTTTTTTCTCCAACTTTCTCAAACAATACTTTTGATTTTTGTTGTCACACATCCCAACCTTTAGATAAATCATAAAACTCATTTCTGATGACAAATTTCACTGCCAAGTGGCTCACGCCTTCTCACGTGACTTTTTAATGGGGAGCAAAACTAGAAACTCACAAAATAACAAAAGGTCCATCTTTTTCATCCTTTTTTTGGGTTTACTTTTATAAAGCCTTACAACTTTTCTCGACATATAGACTAATTTTCTCTTCGTAATGACCAAAACATGGATTAAAAGCCATGCGACTATGGAAATTGCATGAATCATAAGACTTCTTGGATGGATGTGAATCATAGAAGAAGATTCTTTGTATGCGATATGATATTTTTCTTAAATCCTAACATGTGGTGATTTTTTTTTTTGTTTTTTTGTTGCAGTAGCTAATTGTTCTTATTAGGTAAATTTATGTTTGACAATTTTTCGGTAAGACCCACACATTTTTAAATGGTTGAAGCAAGTAATTTATGGGCCTCTTAAAATCAATGAGAAGATATGAAAAAAGATTAATGTGTTAGAGGGGAATGAAGAAGGAATTGGAAGAACGTACGGTAATATGGAATTAAAGATCTATATTTATAGGTAGAAATGAGAAAAAAGTGCTACCTAGCAAGATATTAGACTAGATACTTTTCATTTTGGACTTATGTAATAGGGTTATTTGTCGTTTGATACTCTCATTGATACGTGTATTTCTGTTACTGTTGAATTTGTAACTCGTACGGACTTAGGTAATAGGGTTATTTGTCGTTTGATACTCTCATTGATGCGTGTATTTCTGTTACTGTTGAATTTGTAACTCGTAGAAACATTAGTATTAGAGTTGTAATAGGGTTATTTGTCGTTTGATACTATCATTGATACGTGTATTTCTGTTACTGTTGAATTTGTAACTCGTACGGACTTAGGTAATAGGGTTATTTGTCGTTTGATACTCTCATTGATGCGTGTATTTCTGTTACTGTTGAATTTGTAACTCGTAGAAACATTAGTATTAGAGTTGCATGATATTTTGCATTGTTGTTAATATTTCATTATTTCTTAGTATATTCTAACACCATGTTCCAACTTGGTTTATTTTGGCTACGCAAACGTCGCTAAAGGCTTGGGACCCATTCCGGAATTGTTATTAAAGGTCGGCGGCTTATTCTGCAATTGTTATTAAAGGTTTGGGATGTAATTTGCAACTAGTGATAAAGGTAAGGGACCTGCTCTACTGATGGATTTACAAAAGTTATACATGCAGCACAGTCAAAATCTATGTGACGTAATGTATATGTAGGATCCACTGTTGTGTACATTTCGGTCCACAAAATTTGTAGAACAAAAGACACGAGAAATCCACTTATTTCCCAAACATGCGTTAAATATAAATTCGTTCGTGAATTGACTGAAATAGATACAAAACATAATAAGAATAGCAACAGACTATGCATATTATCGATGTTTAGTATTGGATTTCTTGAGTATTCGAGTTTATTTATGGCATGAAACAACATCTACGACGACTACTTATCGGAACACACTAAAGTGGAAGTCTTCCACGGAACATTTTAAGCTTCCATGTTTATGATGCAGCAAAGACTCTCTCCTCGCAGCATGAGGTCAAAAGCTTTATTGATCTCCGAGAAACCAACTTGGTGGGTGATGAATTTGTCTAGCTCCAGCTCCTGAAATATCAGGAGAACAATAAGTCAGTAAAGTGATCCAGTCGAGCGCCGAGGACGATCGCTAGTGTGCCAGGCCTGGCTCATTCCACTAGAAAATGCACTTTTTACACCTCTAGTGGAATTGAGAAGGAAAAGCAACTCAATAATAGTAAAGGAAATACACAAAAACGTGCATACATTGCACAACAAGCCATTGCAAGTATTTTCCTTGATCCAGTACATTCGGTATTAATAAGAACAGGGGATTTGGATTAGAGTCTATTCGAAAAGACGTATTCATGAAAATGCTTTACCTTGTTCATATATTTTTCAACAACAGATGGGATGTCACTACGCGGTTTATAGTTTCCAAAGAAGGTTCCCTTGAGAGTCCTCTCGTTTAGCAGATTGACTGGATGAGTTTTGAATGCATCGTCCTTGTTCGGAACGCCAACAAGCACAGCAACGCCCCAGCCCTGAGAATAAGCACTCCAAATTAGTGTATGAAATATAGTTGCATCAAAGATTATATTTGATCAAATAGGAAGGAAAATAAATACAGAAAGATAGTTACATCATGAACACATTCAAATGCGGAGATCATAGCATCAACATTTCCAGTGCACTCAACACTTCGATCGACTCCTCCGTCAGTCATCTCAGCTAACACCTGATAATCAACATTTAGACCTTAGATACTACGAAGATAATAATTCCCTTGACAATTGGAAGCCAAACAACAAAGATATCACGTGTTTGATACTCACTAGTGGACAAAATGAGACGGTATAATGGGTTTTAACTTAATTAATATTGTCCATTATTATCTAATCTACCTCACCAAACATGCCAATATAGTATTATTAAGACTCATTACTTCTATGTGCACCTATATAATTTTAGCAAATGAAACATTTTATATGAAAGCCGCAGAACATAAGAAAATTGACTCGAACCGACCTGTTGAACTGGCCTGTCATGATCTTTGGGATTCACAAACTCAGTAACACCGAACTTCTTTGCTGTTGAGAAAGAGGCAAAATATAGACAATTGATAATTGAAAACCAGGTAAGTACAAAGTAGGAAAAACGAGAACAGGTTAAAGAACACTTCATTTCGTGTGGTTCACTCACCATCCTCGAATCGATTAGGGTTCAAATCAATACCAATGATTCTTGAAGCTCCAGAAATTCGAGCTCCTTCGGCAGCCTAATGAATAGGAAACATTATCATATTTTCAAGTGCAAAAAATCACGTTAAGTAACATAATGGAAACATCGAAAATGTACTCACAGCAAGTCCTACAGCTCCCAATCCAAAAATAGCAACAGTCGAACCCTTCTTCGGTCTGGCTACGTTCAAAGTTGCACCAAGTCCTTCAGGCAAAATCTTAAAAGAATTGAGTAGAAACTTACAATGCTTTTTTTACTAAAAAATGGCATATAGTATCAGACCATACTAGACACTACAATGAACGAGATTTCATCATTCCTTAATGTTGTCCCTACAAATTTACTTTATCAAACATGTCGTGATCGCTCAAGACTACTATATTATTAAATTACACACATCTGACCTGTTTATATTCCGCAGCTAAGAACACACTTTTTCAAGTGGTGCTGCAGGATTAATTTTGGCAACACAGCCAACATGCACCACAGTGTATTCGCTAAAGGTGGAAGTTCCAAGAAAGTGATATATTGGCTGCCCATTTTTAGAGAACCTCGTCTTGCCGTCATTGATCATGACCCCTCTATCAGTATTTATCCTGAGAAGGTCACACATGTTGCTTTCTGTCGATTTACAGTAACGACACTCCTTGCACTCGCCAGTAAACATGGGAAGAACATGGTCACCCGGTTGGAGATCTGTCACACCTTCACCTACACTCTCTACGATTCTATACATAGAAAATAGAGCCATTATACATTTTCATATCACAATGTTTAAAAAAAAAACCATAGAATTTAGTTAGTGTTCTAATAATCTTCTTATTTAAGATTGAGAGATAATCGTACCCTCCAGTTTCATGACCGAAGATCCGAGGGAAAAGCGGTGTCTGCTCCTGCAATATAAATTTTCATAAGGAAAATGATTGAAAAGATAAAAATGGTTAACTAAGGAACTGGGCCATCAAATTCAAGCGTACATGATCGAGAAATCATAACATAGCAGGAACAGAGAACAAATCAAACCATAGGATGAGTACCTCTCAACAACATATGATCACTAAAGTTCTCTGTTCTTGTGTAAAATTTTTAAGACACGGCCTTTCAAACATTGCCGGATTTCTTACCTTGGCTTCCCAGAAGTAAACATCAGTGTGGCAAAGGGAGGTGAATAGAATCTTCAATCGAACTTCCATTTTCTGCGGAGGTGCAACGTCCACTTCTTCAATCACGAGTGGCTTCCCTGCTTCCCATGACACAGCAGCTGCAACATAGGAACTCTTACAATTAATATCGTTTAATCGGAATATCCATAAAAAAATTATAGGAAAGACACTGAAGTAGTCTTTCAGTCTCAACAATCTGAGTAGAGTAGCCTCGAGTTGATTTATCCTCAACCCGTATCGCCTCCTCATTTTAGATAATAGTCTTAACAAATCGTTCTCCAACCCAAATATCGTTAATTAATCAACAATAAACAAAACCCAGATCATAGAACGGTATCGAGTTGATAAACGGTAAAGTATGATCAAGAAATCATCACCTTTGCAGCGAATAACCTGACCAGCAGTGCTAGACAGTTTCCCTTTTGTCTTTGAGAGTGTTTACGAGGGCTTTTGAATAAGCGATTATGGTTATGGATAAGTATTTTATATAGGTCGTGTACGTGGGGATGCGGGCCGGTGAGGGTGGAACGTGTCCACCGCCGGAACGTATGAAAATGTACGAGAAACGCAATATTAGATATTTGTCTCTATGAGTTCCTAAGGTGATTTGACTTCTACCACGTGTCAATGTATTCACTAAAGTATTCTATTTTTTATTTTTTCAAGTTTCCATTTAGGGCTGGTTTGTGAATGATTTTAATTCAATTAAAATTGAAAATATTGACGTTATTGGGTCCCACCCGTCTAATAAAAGTTAATAATAACGGCTAGTTTTTCAATTTTAATCCGATTTTAATCCTTTCCAAACAAGCTCTTAAGGGGGAATATATTTGTTTTTTTTTTTTTTTTGAATAAAAAACAAAGTACGTCACTCAATTTATAGAAAAATTTTTTTTATTTTTATTATGTCTGATCCAAAAGAATTCTTTTTAAAATGTACATTTATTGGTCCTAAGTGACTTGCTTAGTTATGTGTTTATGTCAAGACAAATCTGATTGAATAATGTTATTCATCCCTGCTTGGGTTACAAATACAGTCTAGGTGTCGTTAATGTAAAGTGAATTATCTCGACTCTTTTGGCGACATTTAATGAGTCTTTTGCTAAGTCTGAAAAAACCTAACATATTTGTGCACTAAGTTAAATGAGAATTATTTCGTCGTCACTCGACTTTTTAAATTTAAAAAATACTCAATCTGCTCATTTAAGAGCTCTAATCGTCAATAAGATGGTCACATATTCCAATTTTGTTAAAAAATGGCGAACGTTAACTTTGGATCAAGAATTGTTAATTCGAAATGACTCAAATCACTGTATACTTCTCGTGGTGATCTCACTCCTCAAAACCATCAAAGAATTCATAGAAGATAGAAGAAAAATTCTAAGCACGAAGTAATTGGTGCACAGTATTGAAAATAACTAACAATAAAACTTGATGAAATATTTTGATATTCTTAGTATTTTTCAAACGTACGAGGACCACCTTGATTTTTAAATAAGTTTGACATTTAATTATAATAATCTTATGGCATTAATTATTAATTCATTTCAAACCAATCAGGATTATCTTCTTTGTTATTATCATATTCGATACTCTGCGTCAACTGTGTCCATTGGCATTGGATAGAATTATGAGGTTGACCAATGCTAGAAAATAATTTTTTTATTTTTCATATCAATTGTGAGTTACACTTGCAATTCAAAATTAGAACGAAAAAATAATTAAAAAGAAAGCTCGTGATACAACAGCTAATACATAACGATGAGGGACCATCGGGCCCCACCCTATTTATCTAGTAGAAAATTAGTCCCCAATCTTTAAAAAATAACAAATCAATCTTCAAATTTTATTTATATCTACATTATCAATCTTCAATAGCAAAAATTGTTCAAATACATGTTAAATCGTCCCATTATGCTCACATGTCTAATTTTATGAAATTTACTTTTGGTTCACGACTTGTGTCGGTTGCTCCAAAATTGGAAGTGAGATGCTTTTCACGAAGTTCATGTAACCATCTAAAGAAGATTTAAAGTATGTTTGAGAAATATTTATAAATGATTTAAATTATAAATAGATAAAATAAGTTCTTTGTCCTCCAATTCAAAACATACCTACTTCAATTTTCAAACAAACCCCACGTTTAATCAAAAACTCGTGTTATTCTAAATCTGAGGTTTCCTAAATCTCAATTTTTTTGGCAAAATTAAGGATGTCCTCGTTCTTGATTTCACGGGAAACTAAACCTCCCCAATCATCGTAATAGCTTGAAAATTAATAAATACACGTGCACGAGGACAATATTTAGAATATGAAGCTACCTTTTGTCGTCATTGACAAGTTAAGTATTTTACCCATCGCTTAACTTATGCACCATGTTTGAATTGAGAAATTGAGTTTGATCATTATCCTTCAACTAGTTTCCATTTTTCTTTGCAGTTAAAGTTAATGAAATCCTCGTGTTGTTTATTGAGTTTTATCAAACTATAATAACTATTAAGTGAAGTAATTTTTTTTAAGAATTATAATTTTATCTAGATAGCTTTTAGCATCATTTATCCTTCCTTTCTCTTTTACTGAAGTTTTCCGAAAAACTACTCTGAAGATTGAGTGTGTCGGATCCTAACATTGTTTAACTTACCATGCTAGATGTTAGTCGACATTCTTCTACTCAAAATTAAGCAATCTCTAGTATTATTGGGTTGTACACATTTCTTGCTGAATGATATTGTAAATGAGAATTTCATTACTATCATTTTGTTTTGATTTTTTTCCAACTTAATTTATGCCCAGTCAAATTAAAATGTCTTGACTCCATCACTGCTTATAGACATAAGCCAAACATAAGTTTATATTGACTGCAAAATTAAAGTTGCAGATCCACTTGCTTTTTATTAAAGGTTGGGGGTCTAACTTACTACGGAGGCAATAGGTTAAGGACCGATATTAAATTTTCCCTAATAAATAAATACTACGAATGGTCAGAACTCCAAACCGTGTATTGTACAACTATCCCAGATTCCCAGGAATCACAGTTGACAAACCTAGGAATGGTTTTGGTATAGCCTCTTGTATTCATTTCTCCATCAAAAACAGTGGAATTAGAACCTGTTTTCCTACTAAAAAAATTAATTAAAGTTAATTCTCTTGATTCAATTTCCTAATTCACAATTTTAATCACTAGTATAAATATCCTGGATTCAAAATGTGGGTGTCTCACAGAAAAACTCAAGCTTTCAGCATACATTTTACTCATTTACAGATATCAACAAGAACTAGAAGAAATGTCGAGCACTACAGGGCAAGTCATTCGTTGCAAAGGTGCAAAATCTACAGTAAATTTATTTTTTCTGGGTTTTGGCAATTTATTCAGTTAATGTAGTGTATTTTGATTCAAATTTTTGTTTCTTTGCTATGAAAATGCAGCTGCAGTGGCATGGGAAGCAGGGAGGCCGCTAGTGATAGAGGAAGTGGAGGTGGCGCCGCCGCAAAAAATGGAAGTCCGCCTGAAAATCCTCTTCACTTCCCTCTGTCACACTGATCTCTACTTTTGGGAAGCCAAGGTAAAACTAATTAGTGATTCTTCTTATAACTTTTTGCTGTTTGGTAATATGTTAATCTGAAAAGCATTAAAATAAGAATACGAATATTTGTCCATGGTCTGTCGAGTGTGAGTGTCGACTCTTGTCTAGTGTTGTTCAGTCCAGTGTAATAAATATGTCCTTTAAGAACTAATGGATGTAAATACATATAGCTTTTGCATAAATTCAATCATCCTAGCATAGGGCATCGGGCTTTAAGATGAGATAGTTTCACACAGTATCTCAAGAGAAAAGGATCCTAGGATCACGTCTCATTGTCACTTGTCACCCTTTTATGAATATTGTGTAGGTACTTGATCTTAGATGAAAAAGTTAATCTGACCTGTACGTAAGGGGGCATGAATTTATCTCCTTAAAAATATTAAAGTTTTGGACTGGATGGTTCAACTTCAATGACTACTACATCATTCTGAATTCATATCATTTGCAGGCCCAAAATTCTGTCTTTCCTCGAATCCTTGGGCATGAAGCAGCAGGGTATGTTGTTTTCTAGTCCCATTGACTAAAATTCATTATCTGCTTGCAGCCTAAAAGATTAGAAGAATATTGAATCACTTTTTCTGATCATTTAGGATTGTCGAAAGTGTTGGAGAAGGCGTGACAGAACTGGCGCCGGGCGATCATGTTCTCCCTGTATTCACCGGAGAATGTAAACAATGTGCTCATTGCAAATCTGAAGAAAGTAACATGTGTACCCTCCTTAGGATCAACACTGAGAGGGGAGTAATGCTTAATGACGAACAATCTCGATTCTCAATCAATGGCAAACCAATTTACCATTTTGTCGGAACATCTACCTTCAGCGAGTACACTGTCGTCCATGTTGGTTGTCTTGCAAAAATCAACCCTCTTGCTCCTCTCGACAAAGTTTGTATCCTTAGCTGTGGAATCTCCACAGGTACGAGATAAGGATAACTGAAACCAAATTTGAAGCCCTTAATTTCTTCAAAGCGAATTATTTAGTGAATAAATTCTTGGTTTCTTGTATTAAAGGTCTCGGGGCAACTCTGAACGTTGCTAAACCAACGAAGGGCTCGTCAGTGGCTGTTTTCGGATTGGGAGCTGTTGGCCTTGCAGTGAGTACTCTCCTCATTTCCAATTTTCCACAGGAAACTTTTAGTTGTTCTTGTCGTATATGTTACGAGCACTTAAAACTTAATTTTGTGGTAATGTCAGGCTGCGGAAGGCGCCAGATTGGCTGGTGCTTCAAGGATAATTGGTGTTGACCTGAACTCGAGCAGATTTGAAGAAGGTAAACCATTAGATCAGTACTAATTGAGAAAAAATCGTTCAGAAAGATTATCAAATAAATCAGAAACCTTTTCTAATGATTAACAACATTTCTTATTTCTTTGCAGCAAAGAAATTTGGCGTGTCTGAATTTGTGAATCCAAAAGACTATAATAAGCCAGTTCAAGAGGTTGGTAATTTTTAATGAAATTGATCTTCAATTTTTCATGAAGAACCCTCTCTATAATGTTTGTTAATGTGGACTAATTGACGGTATTGGACAGTGTTTCAGGACAAAAAAAGATATTCAAATCTAGTTCGTTGTAATGTGTAGTCGCTTCCATTACTAACAGAACATGCTCTTACTAATATATAACTATTTGGTTGGATTGGTCGGTAGGTGATTGCTGAGATGACTGATGGAGGAGTGGATAGGAGTGTTGAATGTACGGGAAACATCAATGCCATGATCTCAGCGTTTGAATGTGTCCATGATGTACGTTTCGAAACTCGATATCTAAATTTATACTCATTAACTCGTGCAAAAGTATTTGTAATTTCTAATAACTTGAAACTTCGATATCAGGGATGGGGTGTTGCTGTTCTTGTGGGCGTGCCTCATAAAGATGCCGTCTTTAAGACACATCCTATGAATGTCTTAAATGAAAGAACTCTGAAGGGAACATTCTTTGGAAACTATAAACCGCGCTCTGATCTTCCATCAGTTGTTGAAATGTACATGAACAAGGTACGCGTTTCTCCTTTTCATATTGAAATGATAATTTCAACTTGTAGGCTCAACCAACTGGTGAACTTATTTATTTACAGGAGCTGCAACTCGAGAAGTTTATCACTCATGAAGTACCCTTTGCTGAGATTAACAAGGCGTTTGACTTGATGTTGAAAGGGGAAGGCCTTCGTTGCATAATCCGAATGGATTGATAGAAAGTGATGTGAAGATTTAGTAACCAATGCATGAATCTGCTTCTCTCTCAAGAACTACTAGTGAAAATTTCTTAATGTTCTATAATTATACAGATGTACAAGTTCTCAACTTTGTTGATGTCTAGGTTTCTTTTTCTTTTCTATTTCAGCAAATCTTCATGTGCAGAGTATGCCTGAAAAGTGTCTGTTATATAAGTCATTTGTATTTTGATATGTTGTCAACTAATAAAATCTATTTCCATTGTTTCTTAAAAACAACATGTTCTGTCAAAAACTTGACGCATAACCGTCCTCTAATACCACGTCTCTCTACTGTACGCGTGATTAGGGGTTCCTCCTCTAACTGGTGCTGGTCATCGCAGGGTTCCACCAAGTGTTCTAGTTTTGATTCTTTGATAGTCAAAGTGTCTTTATTTGACATCGATATTGCTACCATGATTCCACAGGAGATTTATAGTCTGCAATAAACTCAGACTCGATGAAGAAGATGGACCTCCGATCATGGTTTCTCAAAATTCAGTATCCAATGGGTTTCACAAAATGGAAACATCATGGGAACAAACTTGTAAATAAAGAGGGTCTCAAAAACGAGATGCCACCGATTTGGAGAACAAATTACAGCTTTCAAGTTGAACCAAAGGGTGGAAATAATATATTTCTATTCCATTTTGGTTGCATGCAGGACAGAACCAAGGTTTACTCTGGAGGCCCATGGCTCTTTTATAAGCAGATAATCTCTCTAATTACTCCATATAGTGTTGGTGATTTATGCTCCATGAATTTCTCAGTTGTCCCCTTTTGGATGCACATACTGAATGTCCAATTAGTTTGTGTTACAGACTCCTGTATCCAATCTTCGAGAGAACTGTTGGGTGAATTTGAAGCTGTGGATTTGGAAGGACAGGTGCCCAGATTCCGAGTAAAAATTGATCTCCCATTGCGAAAGGGGCAATGTTTGTTCTTGGAACCCTTAGGCCAGGAATTCACCATTCCGCTACAATGAGACTTCCTGATTTATGCTTCGAGTGCAGTTTGATAGGACATAAAATGCATGAATGTAAAGCTATTGGGTTGTTTGGTTACCACTTGATCAATGTCCTCGTCAGTTTGGGGTCTGGCTTCATGTGCCCAACCTGGTCTTCGTATGGCTCCACAAGAGTAAGGCACTGATGCTAATTCTCTGGAGTCTTCAAAGAATAATACTGACGAGCAGGAGGAACCTTATGAGGTTGTGAAGTCTTTTTTGCCCTCTATTAATTCCTCGAGCACGTGTCCTCCGGTTCTATTCATACCGATAATGTGCTTCATGGGAATTTCCGATCTAAGGAGGGTGGAATGCATCCTAGGCCATTTTGAAACCAGGTGTGTACAGTGAGAAGGAAGGCTCAGTGAATTCAATCAGAGTGGAGCTGGGGTATAATGGGGCCGATCTTTCTTATTTGCTTGATGAACCTATATTGGAACGAGAGCATATTCCCTCGGATATGGTTGATCACGGGAAATCTGGAAATTTTCAGCATGTTAACGAGGAATATAACTTCGAATACTAGGGTGATGGATGTTGAGTCCAGTGCATTACTAGATGATAATGTTCCTTTGACTGCAGCATTTTTATGAAACCAAATGAAAATCTGGCTCCCGTTCTTGAAAAAGTGGAAACGGCTGGGGGTACTCTTTCTTGCCCTTCGTTGTTGTGCCTCCATCCTTGCTAAAAACGATTGAATCTACTGCGGGTGGATCGGCCATTTAGGTAAAAAAAAAAAAAAAAAGGTTGTAAAATTTTATTTATCATCAAAGGACGAATTAATACCAGAACTAGTTCAATCTGATTATCAACAAATTTCATCGCTCGGAAAATTATATAAAATCATTGAGATCTTGTCTGGGACTGATTTTCAACATGAGAGAATTGATTTTTTTGCCCTTTTTTTTTTACCGTTTCTCACACACATGCAGCCAATTTCTGTGAAATTCAGCCCATTGAGTGGTGCAACGGTCAAAAAC